CTGTGAACGGGGAACGCTTTATGAACATTCTGTAATGCGAGCAGCACCGGGGACAGTGTGTCTGTTAAGAGTGAGCGCTCGTGAGCGGGAGACACACATAACCTGATTTATACGAGGTTGAACTGGCCGTGTGACAAAGCGAGCATAAGATGGACACAAGCGCGAGTTAGCCTGAAGTCTTCTTGCCTTTTAGTTACTATTACTATTATGATTATTTGTAAAGGGTATGTATTGCTGTAGTATCCCTGTAGAAGTGTAGGTCTGAGTTTGATTGTTCGATAATAGTCCTTTATAGTTTGTTGTTTGTAGTGTCCAGTAAATTGATATACTCTTACAAATACCCATTGTTAAAGCATTGTGTGATTACTGTACTGTAACTTGTTAACAATTAGACATCAAGTACGTCTCATAATTCATTAACAAAATAGCAGTTATAAGTATACAGATAATAATAAAGTAAGCAAACATTATCAAAAAACGTGTTTATTCGGTTACTGTTAATTTGCTATTTTTGGTTATTTATTTCATATTATTTATATTTCTTTCACTTTGTGCTGGACTCAAAACATGATCAATTGTATTATTTGTCTTTTCCCATTAAATGTTGCTTGGTGTTTTTCTCAGGCTTTAGTAAAATAATATAAACCTTGGGGGTGAATAAGCAGAGGAGCAGGCCAAAACTAGACGCTAAAATGGCAAAAATTTCCACAGCAGTTGTAAATTTCCCAGGAGAACTGACATATGCAGGTACAAATGCCAGCCACACTGCACTAAATATAAGCATGCTGAAAGTGATGTATTTGGCCTCATTAAAATTGCCAGGCAACTTCCTTGCTAAAAATGCCAGAAAAAAACAGACACAAGCCAAAAGGCCTATGTATCCCAACACACACCAGAAGGCCAGATCAGAGCCCACACTGCAATCCAGGATGATCTTGGACTGCTGATATTTAGTGTTTCTATAGGGGAAAGGAGGGGACGCTACAAGCCAGACAGTACATATAACCACCTGAACTAGAGTGCAGCAAAAGATTATGATTCTTTGCTGTATTGGGCCCAACCATTTCATTATATTGTTTCCTGGTCGGGTAGCTGTAAAAGCTGCCAGCACCACTAAAGTCTTGCCCAGGATGCAGGATATGCAGAGAGAGAAGGTGATGCTGAAGGCAGTGTGTCGTAGCATGCAGGACCAGGATGTGGGTTCCCCAATAAACACCAAAGCGCATAGAAAACACAGAGTCAGTGATAACAAGATGAAGAAACTGAGCTCTGAGTTATTTATGCGTACAACAGGCGTGTTTTTGTGATAGAGAAATACAGCAAACACAGCTAAAGTGAGGCAGGCCCCCACTACAGCTGTTACTGTTAGGGTTATTCCCATTGCATCATGGGACAGGAATTCAACCACTTTTGGAATACACACTGTTCCATCAGCATTTGACCAGTAATCTTCAGAACAGGGTATACATTCTAATGAATCTAGAGAGAGGGAAAGACAATAAAAATTAGGATAAAGGTCACTTTTTCCCCCTGAATTACTGAAATTGTTCTCCAACCTGTCTTATTACTGATTTTGCCACTGTCACAAGGTACACAGTCAAAGCAGCACAGAGGCTGGCCACGACGGACAGCCTGTCTGAATCCCGGAGTGCAGCTGTTGCTGCACACAGACACCAGCACCTGTTTAAACAGCAACCACACATATATTAGTAATGTATACTACTGTATAAAAAAGGGTTTATTCCGTATTTTACAATTAAAGCTCTGTTTTAAGATCTTTTCGGATGAAATAGAACGGTTTAGATTGAAATTTGGACAAAAGCGATTTTTGCGTGATCTTATCAGTGAACACCCCAGACCACTCGGTGAGTTTCCCTTCTTTGTATACTAAAGTTTAATTGGAAACCTAAAATTCTCGGGACAGCAGCATTTGTCCAAATCTTAACCATTCTATTTCATCGGAAACTATCTTAAAACAGAGCTTTAATTGTAAAATACCGAACTAACCCTTTAATAATGTATGTTCCTGTAGGTCAATAACATTACTCATTATTTGACAAGAAACTAATAACCTGGATATATAATAAGTATAGGACATACTGATTGAAAAACAATGATTAATTTGGCCTTTTGCATTTCCTTCCCACAGACAGATCTTCCATCTTCAGAATATAATTCTTTCATATTTCAAACTGATACTTACCTCCATTTGACCCTACAGAACTTCAGAACATGGATTCTCATGTACTGAAATACACTGTGAGAACAGCTTGCCTCAGTCTGATGTCCGGGCCACATGATAGCCTTCTCCTGGATAACCAGTTCTTGGCCAGATTCTTGTGCGCCATCGAACATCCCCACATTAACAAACTCAATGTTTCCATCTGAGCCCTGCTGCCAGTTTATGAGGTCATAAGACGGGATAGAATCGCCTTTCATGTCAAAGTTCACTGTCTCTCCTGAAATAGTGAATGACACTTCTTGGAGATACTGCTGTAACTGTGTTTAGGAGATAAAACCAAGACTGTTTACATTGTACAGAATTATGACTTTGACATTTATGACATTTAAGCACTCATTATTTTGAGTACCTGCCATGGGTAGACATTATTTTCACTTGCACATGTGGAGTTTTTGAACGGCCCTTTCCCAGGTGTACAGTGAAGAAGGTTGTGCAGGGAATGAGCAATGGCATACACTCCTTTATAAACATTATAGGAAATGCGGGGACTGGAAGTATTAAAATAGGCAGAGTGCTGCACCCTAACAGTCTCCTGGCCTTTACAAGAAGGCAGATGATTATTTAAGCTGGAATTGGAGGGCGAACAGTCATATAAAGCCCCCCACAGCTCGTGAACCAGAGGATTTGAGGGGTACGTTTGTGGGTTCACTGTTGTGAGGTACTCACTTAACCCAGGTATTTGGCCCTGTCTTATGCCAAATCCAATGGTCCCTCCGAGGAAAGGGTAATATTCATTTCCTGTAAACACAGAGGCTGTAACCCATGCCTCACTAGCAATCCACTGTATCCCAGTGACATTCTGTTCCATGTAGTCTCTTAAGAAGGGTGTGAGCTCCCCTTCAGCTGAGAATACCACTACAACCCGAGCAGTGGAGTGGTTCATGACTTGAATGATTTCCAGCGCCCTCCGACGCTCGTATAACAAAGGAATCATCTCCTGATAAGCAACACATATGCCTGTATCCTCTAACTCCTTCAGTAAGCCCTGAAGGGCAAAGCGACCATACTCGTGATCTCCTCGTACCACTCCCACCCAGGTCCAGTTAAAATGCAGCAGGAGTTTGGCAATGGCCTTTACCTGATAGGCATCACTAGGGATGACTCTAAAGAATGTAGGGAACACTCTCCTATCACTAAGACATGCACAAGATGAAAAATAACTGATCTGTCAAGAAAAAAAGAGGAAAATTCTGTAACAAGAATATTATTAGATCTTGGGTTACACAGCGTGACTTTAACATGGTTAACTCTCCATAAAAGAAAATGTTTTTTCTCAATTTATTCTCAATTTAATTATTTTCTCACAAAAACAAAAAAGCATACACAAACCACAATGCACTTTAAATTAACAAAAAAATCATTTTAAATGTTTATTTTTAGACTCACCATTGGTATCCTGAAAGGCTGCAAAAGTCTTGAAACTACAATAGACTGAGCTGACCCAGATTCTCCTATGATAGCAAGCAGTGGACCAGGACCTGCACACATGGGGCTTATTTGCTCATTTGGCCCATTTAGAACAGCTACTGCTGATCTTTGCCCAGTCAGAGGGTATGCACAAGAGTCAAAGATTTTGTAACCCAGAGTGTATTCAGGTAGAAGATCGGTTCGCTTGTTTATTTCCTCTACAGCAAGTTTCATTGTAAGGGCCCAGCGGAAAGCTCTCGGATCAAATCTGCAGATGAAGTAAACAGAAAGAATGAAATAAAAGGCATCTTTTTTAAAAGGCCAAACTTAAGTTGTACACAGGTTTAAATGCTACTACCAAAATACCCATTTAAGATATTTATAACTTACAAATAATATTATTCTCTTTCGGAAGTTTAAAAAATAATAGTTTTTGTTACTCACCCATTACATTTCACTGGTGCCGGTTTGTAAGTACAGTTGAGATCTGGCATTTCCTGATTGTAGTGCAAAGGAAAAATGCCACCTATTAGAAAATCACCATTAGCCATGAGCCCTGGCTGAAAGTCACTTTGCAGGACACATTTAGAAGCATCTTCAGGAGTGAGTGCACTGAGATAGTGAACCAGAAGCCACAGGAGAAGGACAGTCATGCTCTCTAATGCCTGCATCCCTCAGCATGACTACAGTGGGCAGGACACCCTGTTATATATATATGAAGAGTTCAGATGCAAAAGCCTCTAAATGCCATTTGAAATTTTCCTCTTTAATGATGATTTTTACCAAACTTGTATTTTTAAGTTCAGTAATTTCACTTAAATGGCAATGATAATTACCTATTAATTGTTATTTAAGTGAAATTACTGAACTTAAATATACAAGTTTGATAAAAAAATCATCATTAAAGAAGAAAATTTCAAATGACATTTAGAGGCTTTTGCATCTGAACTCTTCATATATATATATAAATATGAATACATATAAAATATATATAAAATATATAAAATAAATATATATATATAAAATACTGATATTCATAAATATGCTTTATTAATATGATTCCTGTTTACAACAGTGGCACAACCCATGATCATATGCATTGTATTCATAAGAAAGAGAGTAAATTTGTTTTAGTTCATGATACAATTTGGTGCTGTATATAGTCTCATGTTATTTTAAGTATATACAAGTATGTACACAGTCTGTTTCCTATATCCCTATATGAAGATATCACATTAGAATAAAGTTAACAAATCACATTAGATAATAATTATATATTATTATATTAATTTATAGTAAAATGTATTCAATATTTTTGGGATACTTATTCCACATTCAACATCCCATTGCATCATTTGATAACTTTTCCCATGAGATGTTGCTTGGTGTTCTTTTCAGGCTTTAATAAAATAATGTAACACTTGGGGGCAAATAAGCAGAGGAGCAGGCCAAAACTAGAAGCTAAAATAGCAAAAATTTCCACAGCAGTTGTAAATTTACCAGGCTGGCTGACATATGCAGGTACAAATGCCAGCCACACTGCACAAAATATAAGCATGCTGAAGGTGATGTATTTGGCCTCATTAAAATTGCCAGGCAACTTCCGTGCTAAAAATGCCAGAAAAAAGCACACACACGCCAAAAGTCCTATGTATCCCAACACACACCAAAAGGCCAGATCAGAGCCCACACTGCAATCCAGGATGATCTTGGACTGCTGATATTTAGTGTTTCTATAGGGGAAAGGAGGGGACGCTACAAGCCAGACAGTACATATAACCACCTGAACTAGAGTGCAGCAGAAGATTATGATTCTTTGCTGTATTGGGCCCAACCATTTCATTATATTGTTTCCTGGTCGGGTAGCTGTAAAAGCTGCCAGCACCACTAAAGTCTTGCCCAGGATGCAGGATATGCAGAGGGAGAAGGTGATGCTGAAGGCAGTGTGTCGTAGCATGCAGGACCAGGATGTGGGTTCCCCAATAAACACCAAAGCGCATAGAAAACACAGAGTCAGTGATAACAAGATGAAGAAACTGAGCTCTGAATTATTCACACGGACTATAGGGGTTCCTCTGTTGTGCAAAAATATTCCCAGCACTGTGATAGTCAGAAAGGCTCCAACTATAGCTATCACAGTCAGCGTGATTCCCATTGCATCATGGGAGAGAAACTCAACTACTTTTGGGACACACACTGTTCCGTTTGCATTGGACCAGAAGTCTTCAGGGCATGGCAGACAGTCTACTGAATCTATATAAAAATAAAAATTAAAAAAAGAAATAAAAAAGTATGAATCACAGTGCATGTGAGAGATTTAGAATTTAAGCAATTGTATGAATGGCAGTAAATGCAAGTAAGTATTTACACATATTATAAATATCACTCAACATGCAGTAAAGTGCATCTACCTGTCTGATTACTGATCTTGCCACTCTCACATGGAACGCAGTCAAAGCAGCACAGAGGTTGCCCACGACGGGCAGCTGTCCTGAACCCTGGGGCACAGCTATTACTGCACACAGAGACAGGTACCTATGAAAAAAAGTAGGCCTAAATATAATCAAAATTTCTATTTCATTTCATAAATGTGTTTTCTGTATGTTTTCCTCAGTTATACGGAGCATACATTAGCAAATGTTTCTGATTTAAAGCAGCTCAAGGACAACATAGTGAGTTATTTGAAAAGAACAACAGATGGCAGTGCAGTGCACAGTCAACACCTTGCCTTGTTCTGTTGTTTAGACCACATAATGGCCTGTTCCTCAATCACCAGTTCTCTCCCAGAATTCTGAGCACCATCATAGAGGCCCACTTTCACAAACTGAATATCTCCACTTGACTGTCTTTGCCAGTTTATCAAATCATAATATGGAATTGAATCTCCTTTATTATCAAAGTTAACATTTTCTCCAGATACTGAGAAGGAAACATCCTCAAGATAATGCTGAAGCTTTAGAGTACATAAATAAACAAAATAATAAATTAAAATTAAAGGACCAGAAAAGACCAGATTTGCAATGACATAAGTAACCGAAATTAAAAATGTTCCAAGTATAAAGCCTAAAACAGTTTTACCTGCAATGGAAACACATTACTGAGGTTTGCACATGATGCATTCTCAAATGGACCATTTCCAGGCCTGCAGTGAATGAGATTATGTAGAGAATGAGCAAAGGCATACACTGCTTTATACACATTGTAGGTCACACGAGGGCTGGAAGTGTTCATGTAGGCAGAGTGTTCTTGTCTGAGAGTTTCTTTCCCTGTGCAGGAGGGCAAATTACTGTTCAAGTTGGACGTGGAGGGGGAACAACCATACAGAGCCTCCCACAACTCCTGAACTTGGGGGTTTGAAGGGTACCTTTCTGGGGTCACTGTTTTGAGGTAATCCTGGAGACCTGGGATGTGTCCTTGACGTATTGCAAACCCAATTGTGCCATCTAGGAATGGATATGTTTCTGCTAACATTGAAGCTGTTACCCAAGCCTCACTTGCAATCCATTGAATTCCAATGATATTTTGAGTCACAAACTCTCTCAAGAAAGGGTAAAATTCCCCTTCTACTGAAAAAACAACAACCACCTTAGCTGTGGATTCCTTCATTACTTTAAGAATCTTTAGGACTTTTTCTTGGGTATAGTCTTTTGGGATCATTTCATGATAGGCCAAACAAATGTTAGTATTTTCAATTTCTCGCTTTAAGCCTTGTAAAGCAAATCTGCCATAGTCATGGTCTTCAGTGACCACACCAATCCATGTCCAGCCAAACCTTTTTAACAGCTGTGCAATAGCTTTGACCTGATAATCATCATTGGGAACCACTCTGAAAAATGTTGGGAACTGCTTCCGATTACTTAAACAAGAGCAGGTTGAGAAATAGCTTATCTATAAAACAGAAGAAAAACAAATACCATTAAATACTTTTAAAAATATATAAATACTGAGCTTATGTTTCCAAGATAAAGAACATAAACAGAAAAAAATAACTTATTACCATGGGTATTTGGAAGGGTTGCACAGTTCTGGAGAGAACAATGGATTGTGAAGATCCAGATTCCCCTATTAATCCTAATAAAGGACTAGTTTCAGAACACATTGAACTCTGAACAACATCCTGCCCATTCAGTACTGCCAGGACTGCTTTCTGAGCCGTTACAGGGGTAGAGCAAGAGTCAAAAATCCTGTAAGCCAGTGTATGATTTGAAAGGAGATTTTTTCTATTGTTTATCTCCTCCACAGCAAGCTTCATAGAAAGAGCCCAGCGGAAAGCTCTTGGATCAAACCTGCATTTAAAGTCACAAAAATAACGTCGTAAAATTGTTTTTAGAACATTGGTTTGGCATCTTATTATTTGATTTTGGCAAACGCAATTCAAATTAACTTGAGCATTCAAATTTGAATTGCCCAGAAATTATTGGAAAAAAGCAAATATCCTTACCCTTGACACTGTGCTGCCAAAGGTCTCTTAATGTAGTCTGTTGATGGAAGTTCTACTCTATAGTGTAAAGGAAAAATTCCTCCTATTGTGAAGTCTCCACTCGACAAGAACACTGGAAGATCAAAGTCATCCTGTGGAGAGCAGGTTGAAGTCACAGCTGCACTAGAAAGGTGAAATAAAGAGACAAAAATGTAAATCATTGTTCTTTCAAGCTCCAAAAAAACTAAGAAAGCTAAGAGATGTTTCTATTTCCCAAAGTTTTTATAGTTAGCTACCCTGCATATCATTATGTATGTCTCCATGGGTTACAGAATTTGCTAAATCAGGTGGCGTGTAATAGCAACCATGCAACAAATAACAAATGAATATGTAAAATCTAATCTAAATACTATGCCTTATCAAAAAATAAAGCTTTATTATTATGGAACTTTGTGAGTAAAATTTAAATAGTGAGCGAGTACATCATAAAACCATTTTCCAAATATTTTTTTTGCCTTACCCTAAATCTCTGTGAGCCTATCTATGATAATTATTTATATTTTACAGTTGTCAGTACAGATTTTGGGAAAATGCATACTTTTATTATTTGTCTGTGTATTTTTGCTATATCCGTAAAGGAAAAAAAGGTCAGGCTACAACTGTCACAGTGTCTGGTTTATGTTCCCTGGTGTCCACTAGAGGTCCTCTTTACCTACGGTGTCATTCACTTTTGGAACTACATTCCCCACAATCCTGTCTGCTCTCATCACTGTTCATTCCACTCAGCTGTTCCCCGTCATGATCGTCATGTTCTGTGTGTATAAATACCCTGCCTGTTTAGTGTTTGTTACAGAGTCCTTGTTATAGACCTTATGTAGCCCCGCCCCTTTTCAGCACTGCGCTCGTTGTCTTTTGACTTCCGGTCTGTATTTTGACAGCGATCTTGCATAGGTATGAATGAACTGCTCGTAAAAAAATTCCTGGTCGACATTTGTTAAGACATCTGCTTTACAATGCTTATGATAAACATTACAATGCCCATGATAACTTTTGTTAACTCTACAATAAGTAAATCTACTTCACCAGCTAATTACTCCTCGACAGCGATGCCATAGAGATATACAGAGCGACCGCGAAAACGGAAGTAGTCCAGTCATTTTATGAAAAAAGGTTGAACAAATTGCAACAGAAGCAAACTCAACTGACTTTGTATCCTCAATATGTCCTGAGTAAGGAAAAAAAAGTCCAGAAGAATCCCATTAGGGGAACGTTTCGAAAAAGACCCAAATATATCCCATTCATTCGCATATTCATTCTTTTTCTCACGTGAATAGGGTAAAAATTTTAACCTTTAGATATCATCATGAAAATCACTGAGTTGATTACTTACATCAAGACAAACAAAAAATGTAAAAGTTTTTTTAAATTGTTTGTTAACATGGACAAACGGTGCATAATATAATTATGTATTAGCTAATTTGCATAATTACCCAAACAGATCTAAACATTGGGTATACAGCAGATGAAAACGTTTTTTTTTATTATTTTTTTTTTTATCTTGTTGACATATAACAGTAAAAGACTTAATGTTAAGGTCTGAATGGAACCCATTTAGGCTACACGTGAACATTAATACAGGAAGAAGTACTTTAGAAACCAGCCTTTATTAATTATTATGGCAGAGATGGGGTTTGGGCCTTGGGTGCATTGTGTACATAATTAGATTTTTTGATCCAGACACTTTTTTATTTCACCTACCTTTTGTCTTCTGGATTCTCCTTCCCCATGTCTCCTGTTCTTCCCTCAGACTCATCCCCCAGAAACAGTCCCACGGCCCCAACCCCAAACCCCATCTCTGCAATAATAATTAATAAAGGCTGGTTTCTAAAGTAATTCTTCCTGTATTAATGTTCATAGGTAGTCTAAATGGGTTCCATTCAGACCATAATATTAAATAGTTTACTGTTATATGTCAACAAGATTCAAAAAAACATTTTCATCTGCTATACCCATTGTTTAGATCTGTTTGGATAATTATGCAAATTAGCACACAATTAGATTATCCACCATTTGTCCATGTTAACAAACAATTGCAAAAAAAACTTTCAATACATTTTTTGTCTTGATGCAAGTAATCAACTCAGTGATTTTCATGATGATATCTAAAGGTTAAAATTTTTACCCTATTCACGTGAGAAAAATAATGAATATGCGTATGAATGGGATATATTTGGGCCTTTTTCTAAACTTTCCCCTAATAGGATTCTTCGGGGCTTTTTTTTTCCTTACTCAGGACATATTTAGGATACAAAATCAGTTGAGTTTGCTTCTGTTGCAATTTGTTCAAGGTTGACCCCCATTTTGGCTTAAAATGACTGGACTAAAGTTCAAAGACAATATTCTAAAGATGAGGGCGCCCACGTTTCTCTGGTGCATAAGGTCTATATGTCACACAACTTCCTAAGATTTGTTTTGTTTTGTTTTGTTGTTGGATTATGGATATTGACCCCCCTTGCCTAGACTGTTGTGAATACGGATTCCCCTAATTAGGGATGGGAAAATGAAGCCTCATGAATCAATGAGGCTTTCCCCTGACTGTTCCGGAAAAAAGATCCAAAGCTTTGCGAGTGTCAAGAACAGCGCCATCTGATGCTTATTTAACATAAAGCAGCCAGAAGATGAAGAAACCACAACACACTCCATATAGCTTCAATGTTATGTGAACAAATACAAGCCTTCCACGTTTCAGTTTGATTTGTCCATTAAATAAATTCCTTTACCCATTGAAGTATGACAATAAAATATAAAATGGGCTTATATGATTCAATAAGATCTGCTAGTAGGCATACTATCTCTATCTCTACACAAACACACACATAGTAAATAAGGATATGCATTGATTAACTTTCAAAGTACAGCACTCTCCTCACAAACCCATCAACCAGACTGAACCAGGACTTGTTACTGTAAGTAAGATCTGGGGTTCGAACCTGCTGACACCCAATGCGAAACATGCATGTGATTGGACAGAAAGTGAGGCTTCATTTGCCATCGATCATGTGACTCCGAGAAACCAATACACAACCCGATACGGGGCTTCAATTAAATTGAGTTGCATTTGCGATACACACATCAAAGCTTCAGTGTCATACGTAACATCACTACCCCTAATAAATTACTGCTCATGGATCTTACCTGTTTTGTGTGTACATATCGTGTAGCCAGGGTTCTCAAGTCTCACGCATTGGCCGTGAGACACACGCATTTCGACCGGTTCACACGCTCACACGCCACACTGTGTATTTCTCACGCTGAAAAGTCAATGCCAACCAAGTTGTCCTGGCTGAAAGCTTTCTAACGTTGTATACGAGGCGCAGGCAAACAAAGTGAAGTTTCCTGCCGCCAGCGTGTATCTCCGCCAGATTGCGTTCGTTACTAGGCAACATATATGCGTGCTGCGTGCACCACTGATCTATACATGACATGTCATTCAGTAGCGCGAACACACGGAAATGGACGGAACATCCTCGGTACGTTCGTTACTAGGTAACCAACAACATCGCGCGAACACATGTGTCGTGATGGAGAAGAAGGTAAGTTGGAAGAAGCTCGTCTAACATTTTTGGGCTAGAACATTTAATATGTAGCCCATCGTACATTATTATTGATGCAGTCAAAAACTCTACAACTACTTTGCAACCAGGCTCAGTTTGGCTATCTTACGTTATCTGAAACTAAGAGAAATGTTAATGGGTATGGAAAGGAATGAAGATTTACTGATTTTATTTTAAATTATATTATACTGTAATATTAAAGGGTTAGTTCACCCAAAAATGAAAATTAAGTCATTAATTACTCACCCCCATGCTGTACCAACCCCGTAAGACCTTCGTTCGTCTTCGGAACACAAATGAAGATATTTTTGATTAAATTTGAGAGCTGTATAACTACCACATTGGCTCCTAAGGGACTGCCTCTTGACGGCCCATAAAGTCAATGAAGAAAATGTTTAAATATCCCAAGTGACTACCGTGGCTCAACTATATGTTTATCAAGCGACGCGAATACTTTTTGTGCGAAAAAACAAACAAAAATAACGAGTTTATTCGACTATTTCTTTTCTTCCTTGTAGGCCACAGATGCTACAGATCGCAATTCTGCTACA